CAACAGGGTACCATCAAGGGTTGACAGTAATGCGTGAAAGGGCCCATCTGTGCCCGGAGGCATGCTAATACTAGCTGTCTGGTTATGGAGCTATGTGTATCTCCCCTAGCTGGACCACGTTCTAAATGTGAGGAGGAAAAGGCCCCTTAAAAACCAGAGGAAAGCTACCCAAGTGTCTTTCTATGTGCACGGCAGTGTGTATCAGTATGTATGCCTGTGGCATTGCGCATCTCTGCATTGCTGTATTTATATGCTTGTATGTGAATTCATGTGTATGTGTGTGTATCTTTGTATGTATATTTGTGGCAGTGTGTATATGCTTGTGCACTTGATTGACAGTGTTTATTTGTGAGCATATGTGTGGCTGTGTGTATCTGTGTAGGTAATGTACCGGTATATGTGTGGCAGTATGAATGTGTTTGACAGTAGTTGTGTAATTGTGCATTTGGGTGTGAGAATGTGTTGCAGTGTGTGCATTTGTGTTTCTGGGTACAGATCAGGAACAGTACACACATAAAAACTGTTTTACATTTGATAAGACTACTTAATAATCAACTATCAAAGAAAACAAATATGGGGACTTAGTTCCACCATATGGCCATGCAAAAAGTTCCAGGTGTTCCTCTAATTCCATTTTTGTCTTAAATAGTTTGGAAAGGTTCTGGTGGCAGCTCTTGCAGTGACAGTTAACCTCCTAACAAACAAATATACTTCAAAACTCATAGAGAGATTATATAGGTGTAATCTCCGAGATAAGTCTTTTTTTTAATAAAAGTATATAATTACATAGTTAAATTCAAGAAGAATTAATTTTAGTTGGGTCTTGTAGTCCCATTCTTGCTTTATTTTTTAAAATAATTTGTTAGCTTGTTTTTTTATTGCTCTTCTGGTCCTTTTTGACTGAATCTTCACCTTAGACCATCAAAAACAAGACTATTTGAATTTTTTGCTTTTTGTGTTGAATTTGGGCCAGATTTAAGCTTCCTACTTGAATAGATTTCATCTCCCCAGACACATATACCGTTTTTTTAATGAATGACAGTAGTGCTTGACAAAACTCTCTTTTTTCAGTTAATTCACAACTAACCATGTTTTAAAGTCCGTATCCCACTCACATCACCTATTTTGTATTTATTTTTAATAAATCATTGTAACGGACAATGTTGTCTCTAGTAAAATTGTCACTGTATATGTCATTTGTGACATAACTTGGCAAACCTTGCATGTGTAAGGCTTGCAATTGGATGCATTGTATTTGGTCTGATTTAGAAGTCAGCAAATCATAATGCATGAGTGATACGTAAACACAATAATGTGTGCATAAGTAATGCATAAAATGTTTCTGCCTTTTGTAAAGCATTTTGGACCTTCTGCAGAAAATAAAATACAATTTGAGAGTGTCAGAAAGGAAAGAAAAATAGAGAACAGTGTGTGAAAGGTAATGCAATCATTTTAAATGTATTGAATCACTTTATTTTTGTTTAATCCCCTAAAAGGGTTAAGTTAGTATTACATAGATAGATTGCAATAAAGTTTTAGGCATTTGAAAAAATATTACTGACTGTAGGCATACTAAAAATGTTATACAGTAATGCCACAAAGTTAATTAAAAATGTATTAAAGTATTGCAGTTCATTTGTTTACCTTTTTTTTTTAATTGGATGAACAGAAATAGTAGGGACAAGCTTTTAGGAGATCTTCCCTTCCTCAAGTCTAAAGTATTACTTACCACAGTGAAACAAGCAAACTACAATAGCTGTAATGCAGAGGTTAAAGCAGCAAAACAATTATACAAATATTTCATGGTGCTCTAAATCTGCCATGGGATAGGTAAAATAAGAATCTTAGCTTATTTGTTTCAAAGTATTCAGTAATGCTTTAGACTTGGTAAAGGGAGAAATTCCTGAAAGCTAGTCACTACAAATTTCTGTTATAAAGGAACCTCAATATTTCATTATTTTTCATCTACTTCCAGGATGGGACAACATTACTGACTACATTTACCTCAGTTCAAACTGTGCGAACTACAGAGAAACCAACTATAAGATTCTCATCCCCTGGTATGATACCAAGCAAAAACTACTCATATTCGTATTGGACTCATGCTGGTGATGCGGGAATGGGCCCAGTTCTCTCCTCCACATTTTATTGGAATGCTCGAGGATTGTCCTGTATTGGCAGAGAATCCATGCAACTATGAATCCACACACTGCGCAAGGTGGCAGACGAATGTGTGAATTGGCATCTGGCGGATATGTTGCTTAACTGTTCCCTCCTCCTGGTCTCCAAATTTAAGAAGTCCCTCTTCCGACATTTGCTAACTGCGGCAAACTCTCTAATACTTACTTTCAGGAAACGAAGGGACACCTCATCATTCCAAGACGGACTCAGCAGAGTATCCAGCAACTGGAGAAGGTGGTTGCCACAACTAAAAGAAGACTGGAGAAACATGAGGAGATATAGAGAACATGGGTTTACCTCTTGAGCACAGACAACACATTAAGCCTGCCACAGACAATATATTGTGCTCGTAAAGCTGACAGGAGGCTGAAATGTCATGGGGGGGGTTCAGAGCAGGTGGGACTGGAGCGACAATCAAGGCTGAGCACTCTTCGCCCTTCATTCCCTCTTTTTTTACCCTCTCTCACTTTCTTCTTTATCTCCCACTCCTGATCTATGACGTCTACTATATTGTTATTACTGTTTTTTATATAGCGCCAGCATAGTCCATACCGCTTGTATATTTGCTCCCCCTCTAAAAGTGGTTCCTAGCTAATGCTCACCTACCAGGTCACACGGGTTAGCAACCCACAGAGGGTGCAGTTAGCCATGGTTTCCTCTAAGGCTGCCAAGCCGCACGTTACGACATTAAAGCCCTAGGGACGAGGCCCAACAGCAAACCGGGCAACGATCACAGGACAGGGAACAGGCAAACATGAACAAGGCGGACAATCGCATACCCTACACTAGGTTTTTAGCATGTACAGTATGCACAGGGGCAAAGTTACAGGCCTAAGTGACATGCCAAGTGGAAACATCGCCTTTGAACATGTACAATGATACCTGTAGACCTGTACTTCTTATTGCAAACCCAAATCGGGAACCACAGGGGAGTTGTAATGCTCGCTGTGGAGATGATCTACCTCCTTCTGTAATTGATTCCCACCTCTATATTATGACTGTTTGTTGTATTACTATCGAGAAAGTTTCAATAAAAAATAAGATTGTAAAAAAAAAAATACATTTGCATCTATTTAAGTACAGCTACTCAAATAACATGACTAAATTTGTATTATAATATTGAATTAATATAAGATTGTGGAAACAGTTATTTTTGTTTTTGTTTTGTTGTAGTCTCTTGTGAGAAGAACATTATTTTCTCTCCTTAAATATGAAAACATAGTGAATGATATCAAAACCTTACTGTAAAAAATGAAAAAGAGAAAATATAATTTAAGAAAATTACAACAGGGAAAAATTAAGCCTATTTCAAAGGTCTTATAAAACTTGGAGCAAATCACTCATACTCTGCTGTAGGGCTTAAAAAGTCCTACGCAACATTCACTCACCACTGCCTCAGCATACCCACCAAAGGAGAATTTTTATTTGACAGGGCTAATTTTTTACTAACCAGTGGTCACTTTAACAACATCTGTTGTTGTTTATCGAACAATCCTTACATTTATGAGAGAAGACTTTCTGACACTTTTTATTATATTCACTCCACCATAATTTAACACTTACTCTTTAAGTGATGATAGATAGGTGTTACAAAAGACTCGAAATGTCTCCATTATTTTTATTACATGTTGCTACTGTTACAACCCTATACGTTTAACCCGGGGAAACATGAATGGATTATACAAATTCTTATAAAGACCCGTTCGTGATACGAACTAGAGACCCCCCAAACGCTGGCGTGTGCTGCCAATTAACCTCTTCACCCCGCTAAGTACCGAATGGCCGATCACCCGACAAGCGGAGTGTGGCGCCCATTAACCACCCAGGCGGTTGCGGTCTGCGGTTAACCACAGACTAATTGACGGGCCAGGAGGATCGACGTTCGCCCACAAATCACCGAAGGGAACCTACCGAATAACCTCACGAACGGAGACCCCCTACAGTGAGTCGTGTGGCAGCAATTAGCCTGCGGTTTCTGCGGTTAACCGCAACTCAAGTACCGTGCTACCAGGTGGTCCTCATTCATGTACCGAACGAGTTCCACTACCAGACAGACAGCGGGGATTCGCATGGACTTATACCCGAGTTCAGTTCCATAAGTTGAAGGCGAGGTCCCGCTGCTCGGTTAACCGCCTAAAAACATGGCCGCCATCAGGGACTCACAATCCAAAATACCGAATGGACTTTATACGGCAGAAAGAGATCATTCTGTTCGTGGGATTGGAGCGCCATTCGTATGTTTAATGTATCCGAATGCGAGCTATTAAATGAATGGTAGAATGAACCGTTTTTCCCTATTGATATTAAAGTTATGTATTTTTATACAGTTTTATGAGGCATAATAAAACGTGGTCTTTTGTGCGCTTGGAGATAATTAGATTGTATAACCGTTGGCCTCATTATCTCCAAGCTGGGCGGGTACTAATTCAAACGATACACTGTACTGTGATTGGTTACCAGTTTGTACTGTACCTGTATTCCATCAGGTCCACAGGTGGCTGTCCTGGGACCTGAGGAATCGCATAAATTGCCATGTTGTGTGCCAGTAAAGCCAGTTCATTTTGACCCTCAACTTGCAGCCTCGACTCATGTTGTAGGGATCCGTGATATTATTGCTTAAACCGTGGTTGGAATACTCTACACTTGCAGCTTATTACCGAAGGACCTCCATTCGACTCTCTACAGCGGGAACCAGGACATCCAAGCGATCAACCCCCCTGCTAGCCCGGGGGCAATCGTAACAATAGGCATTCTACTGATACTATAAATAGAATGAATTATATATTAATTGAGCACTACAACACCATAGCCATTAGAGCCCACTGTCTTTGATATGTTAATAGGTATGCACTTGTGCTCTTCCTGGGTAAGTAGTCAAGTTATTTAAGAATGGAAAAACGAGGCACCCGCCATTGCCTCACTTATTGCTGCGAGCTCCTGCACTGAGCTAAGTGTGATGATCATTGGCAGAGAAAGCACAACTGAAAATCTTAGCTAGTGAGTGGCCCTTTCCAGCTAACAACAACTGTCTTCAGGACAATGGAAGTTGGTGATGCACACCCATTGAGAATCAGGTAAGTTGTCAAACTATTTTTAAACAGTTTTACTACTTACTCTGGGTGTGTGCCAGTGCACTCCTAGCACTATAACCACCACAGCAGTGTTTAATGTTATGCTGCCTGGAGTATTCTTTTAAATACAAACCTAAGTTTTTTACAGTTTTGTTTTAATAATTTCTACACAACTAATGCAACTACAGAAAACACAAAGTAGTTTCATGTATGATTGCTAAAAATCTCTTATAGCTAGTATTCCAATACATTTTTGGAAATTATATTTTTTTGTGTATTTCACACAATTGCCTCATTTGAAGTCCTGCATTGAGTAAAGTAATATGCGACATGAAGAGTTTTACAAGGTTTTTGAGACATTACAGGATAATGTATCTGTTTTTAAGTTTTGAAATGTCCAGTTTTCACGTATTGACTTATGGGCACATGTCACTTTTGGCATAGCAGTACCTAATTGTGTCAATTTTTCACAAACATTATGTATGGCAAATGTTATAGACTTCATGTGTTCTACAATGGCAAATACTCCTGGAACTCTTTTCTATCATATTCTATAAGTGCAGCAATGCCCATATATATATATATATATATATATATATAGTTCTTTCAATTATACAGTGCTGCGGAATCGGTTACCAGTAATAAATAAATAAAAAATGAATGACAAGCATTTAAACATGGAACATAATAATACATTAATGTATGTATTTCTTTTTAGGGATGTGTAATGTAAATGTAAAATGCAAAGATAAATGTGCAACACATAATTGTTTTAATTATTTGTTTATACTTTACAGAAATTATGTCAAAAATAAAAAGTTTGAGATATCAGTTTGTATAATTTATTTCAAACAAGGGTCTACATTCTATTACAAGACCTAAACTTAATGCCAATTGATTGGCAGTTTTCCCATTGACTTCAATAGGAAAGTTACTCCTCAAATGCTAGATGGAGTCTCATCATCTATAATAAAATCTAGATCAGGGTCTAAATAGAAGAAGATATACCATTTCAGGGGACAATCTCAAGAGGGGTATTTTATTTTTCCAAGTAAATAAAAATGTTAATGTTTATAAAACTGACAATATAGTGATAATGAATTTGTTTGTGACAGAATGACTTTTGCAGACAGGATACTATTAACCATATACTATTTTATTCATGCATATACAAGGCTCCACATGAATACAATACTGCGTTCAGACATACAATCCACATGAATACAGATGCTCCACTCAAACACAATCCTGCCTTCATATATGCTAACAGCATTTTCATACTCTTTAATTTCAATATGCTTATATATAATGAACCTACGTTATTAAAATGTACCTATTGTAGGCTACTTAACCCATTTTTTTTCAACAGTGGAAGATGGTCTCTCGAGATCCTTGAATATTACACACATTGAGAGGTTTCAAAATAGATTTCACAACCTTTCCATTCCAAGACGTTCCACCAATTCCACAACAAATGAAACTGCTTTGCATATAGAAATAGACTAACTTGTAAGAAAAGGAGCTGTCAAATAATCATCCTCCCCACGTACTTTCATCAGCAATATGTTTCTAGGTTGCAAGAAAATGTTAGATTTGTGTCCAGTTATCAATCTGAGAGACCTGAACCAACACATTATGTATTGATACTTCAAGATGGTATTCATCCATCTTCTACGCGACTTACTCATGGAAGACTGGTTCTCCCGATTCGATCTCAAGGATGCATATATCACTATGCCAGTTGCCTAAAACCATCTTCCTTTTCTCCAATTCCTTTGGCTACAAGACATTTGGCAATTTACCTTTGGCTTTTGTTCTGCTTCTTGGTGTTTCACCAACTTGATGAAATCAGTTATGGTCTTACTCCAATCACAATAAATTCAGTCCATCATCTACTTGGACAACATTCTAATCATGGCTCAAGACATGACCTCTGCATTACTCCAAAATATAGGATTTATCATAAATTTTCAAAAATCCGACCTAGTATCCTCACAAACACTGCAATTTCTTGTATTTCAGATAGACTCCATACAAGCTATCCTTCAACTACCTTCCTCCAAGATCAGAGCCATAAGAAAGGACATTTGGAAACTATTATCCTCACAACAGATCCAGCTACTAGATCTCGCACACATGATCAGCCTACTCTCGACTTCCATACAAGCCATCTTCCCGGGACAACTACATTATCGAGCAATGCAACGCTTGAAAACCTACTACCAATATCGGTCCACTTCATACGACCATTTTTTTTCTTTTGGTGCCCACTCCATCAGAGGTGCGGTTGCATCTTCTGTCTTGGGTGCAGGAGGCTCTCTGATTGACATCTTACCCTCTGCAGATTGGTCTAGAGAAGCTACTTTCCAGACCTTCTATTTTAGGGCGGTGTCCTATGCTTCTATGTAATTGATTTCTCGGCTTTAAAACAGCAAATATAAACCCTCCAGTCGTGCCATAAAATTAGGGATTATACTAGCATAGTGACTTAATGATCTAACTTTTATTAAAGACACGAGGCGGATATTTTCCCTCCCTTCTTCTCCAACCCTGATCTATTTTCACGTAAAGATAGATGATACCGGAGCACTAAATGAATACGTAAAGATAGATGATACCAGAGTGCTAAATGCATGTGGGAAGGGGCTTATCACCTTAACATCGCTCCACTTCTTAAAAGTTATTTTATCCTAATCTATTTTCTTCTGAACTACTTTTAACACACTTCTCATATATTTATGGTGTCTGTTTTATCCATGTTTTATCCTATGCATTATAACCATTTATGACACAAGCCATTATATTATTACCTAACTGACAGCCTTATCTGTTTTAATCTATTTGATTTACTTAATATATTAGTATTCTAGCTTTACCTGTTTAAATCTATCTGATTTCTTTAGTATATTAGTACATTAGCTAATTTTATACTAACAAAGACGTTTGCTCTAGTAGGATTTCTATAACTTAACCGAGCTAGGACATTGTATTGGTCTTTTATGGCACCGATGAACCATACCAGAGCCGGACTGGGACGAAAATTCAGCCCGGGCATTTAAAGGCAGAGCAGCCCTAGGAGTATCATGACCCAAGAGAGTGAATGTTGTGTCATCACCAATGACATTTATGCCTCTCCAAAGTGGGCATATTTGTTTAATACCCCTCAGGACAGTCCACGTGTAGCGGTGTGTGTGTGAGAGTGGGAGACGATAGGGGATGACGTGTGAGTGCGGAATAAGAGATATAAAGTATGGAAGGTGGACATGGGGCTGCAGGTTGTAAGAAGGGGGCATGGGGCTGCAGGGTGTGGGAAGGGGACATGGGGCTGCAGGGGGGACTGTTGGGTGAGTGACGGATACAGGGGCTGCATGGTGAGGCTTCTGGGTTTGAGAGGGGGCAGTGTGCTGCTGGGTGTGAGGGAGAAAAGTGATGCAGAGTGCAAAAGGGAACATGGGGCTGCTGTGTTTAGAGCAGACATGGTGCTGCTGGGTGAGAGGGGTCAGGGGCTGCTGGAGGAGAGGGCAGGTGCTGGTGGGTGAGAAGAGGGGACAGTGGCTGCTTGGTGGGGGGGCAGGGGCTGCTGGGTGAGAGGGTGAGACACAGGATGCAGGGTATGAGAGGGGCCATGGGGCTGCAGGGTGAGAGGGGGAGGGGCTGTTGGGTGAGATGAGAAATACAGGGGCTGCTGGGTGAGATGGGGGACATGGGGCTGGTGGGTGAGAGGAGGAGACAGGGGCTACTGGGTGAAAGGGTGAGACAGGGGCTGCTGGGTGAGATGGGGAGACAGGGACTGCTTGGTGAGAGATGGGGACAGGAGCTGCTGGCTGGAGGGTCAGGGCTGTTGGGTGGGTCAGGGGTTGCTGGGTAAGACAGTGGATCAGTGTATGAGAGGGGACATGGGGCTGCTGGGTGAAAGGGGGGACATGGGACTGCTGCGTGAGAGGGGATAAGGGGCTGCTGGGTGAGAGGGGAGGCATGGTGCTGCTGGGTGAGAATGGCAGGGTGTGAGCACATGGGGCTGCAGGGTGAGAGAGGGGACATGGGGTTGCTGGGTGAGATGGGGGAGACAGCGGTGATAGGGGTAGAGAAGGGGGAGACAGGGGCTGCTGGGTGAGAAGCCGGGCATGGGGCTGCTGGGTGAGATGGGGGGCATAAGGCTGCTGTGTGATAAGGGGAACAAAACTATTTTTTTTTTTTTTTTAAATACATAGTTTACTCCCTCATCCCTCTTCCTTACCTTGATCATTGGCAGGAATTCTTTTCCCTGGTAGTCTAGTGGAAGACATATCTGATCTACACCCCTTGACAGGTGTAGACCATGTGCACAGTGCCTGCACTGTGCATCAGTGTGCAGGCTGGTAAGAGAGATCTTTGATATTCCCACCACACAGAGCTCCCTCTATGGGCCAGAGGTCAGGCAGCACCAGCTCTAAAGGGGCCGGTCAGGGAGATCCCTTGATCCCTCCTGTCAGCGTCCGCCCATTGCCATTGCGGCCCACCGGGCATTTGCCGGGTTTGCCCCATAACCAGTCCGGGCCTGAACTATACTTTTACGATGTCTCTTTTCTCTTTCCAGTTTGAAATTCCATCCACTTTATTACATGGATCCCTCTTCGGTTTCTAGTTTACCTGGTAGACTATTCGACTACACATATCTATTTGTTTTCCTTTTATCGTTTACTGTGAATCACAAGCATCAAGAAAGAGGAGTTGGGAGGAGCCTGATTACAATACATACTACTGTCATGCCCTCTGGTTGGTTGATTTTTTATCTGTCTATTGATAACTGTTTATTTGCTGCTAGAGGTTTCAGTAAAGAAAGATTAAAGAACCACTATAGTGCCAGGAAAACAAACTCATTTTCCTAGCACTATAGTGTTAATAGGTCCACCCCATCCTCATGGCCCCCCTCCAGCCGGGTTAAGGGGTTAGAGGGGTTAAGGGGTAAA